CACACACACACACACATATATATATATATATATATATATATATAGAGAGAGAGAGAGAGAGAGAGAGAGAGAGAAGATAAGATGAGAAGTGCCCCTTAAAATGATAACTCATAAGTAATCTCAGCCCTTGGATTTGCATGTGATCTTGCAACGCAGTAAACTTATAGACTGAATATAGGAACTTATAACCAATAAATCATAACTTATAAAGCTCTCCATCATAATTATGAAAATGCCAGCGCGTCGCGTCCAAAAAAATTTCAAGGTTTCTAGGCTTTTTATTGCGGTGGCATTTTCGTAATTATTTTTGACGGGGTCTACAAGTTATGATTTATTGGTTAAAAGTTTGTGTTTTTAGTCTATTAATTAAACTTCACAGTTCTCATCATAATGATGTTTTTACTTGGACTGTAATTCCTCCCAGACCAGACCAGATTAGACTTGGATAGTTATAAAAATACAAAGAAACCAGACCCGACCAGAACAGTTCAGACCAGACCAGACCAACAAATTAAAACATCCTAAAAAGCACTTCTCAACTGATCTGCTCCATACATATATATACATATATATATGGGAGGGTTCAAATACAAAGAGGTCCTCCCATGCAAAGTGAGAATTAATCTCGTGCGTTCATTTCGAGATCTAATGGCTCAAAATGAGCCAAAAGTGAACTAAATTTGATCAAAAACGCGGTGGCAATTTCGTAATTAAAACGAAGTTTTTTTCCATCACGAAAAAGTGCAACAGAAACATGCAAAAGTGCAACCCAATGAAGAAAAAGTGCAATTGTTCGCACTTTGCACAGGAGAACCTCTTTTTATTTGATCTCTTCCCTATATATATATATTAGAGATCAAATACAAACTAAGCTTAACTTACTAATCTACAAACTAATCATGGCCCTCCATCTTAATTAGACTACCAGATTTGGTAAGCCGATCAACAATTACCCAGACCGAGTCATTTTTCTTGGGTGTCAATGGTAAACCTATTACAAAGTCCATGGTGATGCGATCTCATTTCCACACTGGTATTGTAATGGGTTGTAATAATCCAAATGGGACTTGATGTTCAGCTTTAACATGTTGACAAGTAAGACACTTAGAAGTATACTCGTTGATATCTCGTTTCATACCAGACCACCAATATAGGTTCTTCAAGTTTTTAAACATTTTGTTGCTGCCCGGATGCATAGAATATTTTTGTTTCATGTGCTTCACGAAGAATTCTTTGCTTAATCTCTCCATCCGGAACAACTAAACGTCCTCGAAAGTACAATCCACCGTTATTTTGTTCAGTTGTCGATAATCAATGCAGAGTCTCATAGATCCATCCTTTTTCTTCACAAACGTCCTCAAAGAGGTTGGATTCATGAGGATTGCGAGGGTTCCACTTCGGCATGGGACTCTATCTTACCCCTTCACATCAAGCATGCTCTTTGGCATGAAGGAGTGGGAGATTGGGGGACTATATCAGCCTCCACACATTAGAAGACACAAAAAAGAAACAAGTGGGAACGGCATCACAATGGCCACACAAGAGCAAGTCGCCTTCAGCAACAACACGATCAACACCACAACGTCCTCAAGCGTGTGGTCCACCTTCGGCTACAGCCAGTAAATAAAAACAAGAGAGAAAAGAACAAAGGACACACATTGTCCCCAAAACATAGGACATACATCGTCCTCAAAATAATAGGCGTTCATCATCCACAGAAACAAGGGATCCACAACGGCTAAACGCCAAATGAACGTCTACGACATCAACAAGAGAACCAGCTGGCCGTACGACGGGCAAACGCAAGGGAAAAAGCAAAAACACACAACATCAAGCATGGATGGCTCATCATCGACCAAAAACATCAAGACGACAAAAGATTTACTCCCTTTCACTTCGTCTGCATCTCAACTCAGAGAGTGGGGGACTCCTGATAGAGTATATGTGTCCAGACCCCACGACCCACATACTCAGAAGACTAAGATGAAGCACAGATGGCACCCACGTGGCCCTCCATCGGCCAGATGGTCCTCCGTCGGCTAGATGGTCCTTCGTCGGCCAAACAACCATGAACCCAGAATATGGTCCAGAAGCCCAGGAGCATGACATGGTCCTCCATCGGTCTGATGCTCCGTCGGCCGGGCGCTCCATCGACCAAAGAGACCGCTCAGAACTATATTTTATACTTAGTCAGATTACAGACTTGTATCCAACCCCTTATATTATAATGAGCTTGGGAACCCAGCCTATATTTTCTCTATAAATACTCTCTTTGGAGGTAGTGGCAAGAGGTTGAGAAATCATTTATACATATCACTTTATCTCTTTAGCTCTCCCTTCTCTCTTGATAATTAATCTATCAATAGGCATTTCAAATATGCTATCAAACTTCATATATTTCACAAAAGCAAGTAACTCCATGAATTTCACAACTCAATCATATAAATTAATATCTTAAAGGTCTCACAATCCTCACCACGTTCCTAAGAAAATTATTTTCCTATTCATTTTCATTTCCTAGTTTTTTTGAAAATTTATTTAGAAGACTTTTTAGAAAACCGTTTTGAAAAATCTCCCAGAAAAACCATCGACTCTGATACCAATTTGTAACACTCCCAAAATTTCCACCCAAAACATAGATATATTTGAAATAAAATCTTTATTCATTCATAATAGGGAAATGAGTGTTACCGCCACATTCAGTCATATCTTAACCGAATGAGGCAAACCAAAACAAAACAGTAAAAACAATAAAAACTAAACTAACATAAAAAATGTTTATTTCTTGACTAGATTTGACTAAGGCATCTTCTAAGCCGCTCTCACGCTCAAGCAACCAATTAATCAACATAAGCATCCAACTCATCACCTGTTAAAATTAAGGGAGGAGAAAGGGAACAAGAAAAATAACAAAAATTAGCTTTAGAGCTAAGTAAGTACTATCCAACCCCGTAAAATAATCAGGTTTGTCAAAATAGTTTTCCATACAGTACTATATCTTTAAAAATCCCCTTTCTTCCTACAAAACTACTTTCATGTTTAAAATAATATTCATAAACTCTAAATAACTCACACCTTCATATAAAAGTATCACTTTCTGATCCAAAACTAACTTTATAGCTAATCACTCTTCTCAAATAAACTCAACTTCTCTTCGAAAGTAATCTCAGTAGTTCTTCTCTTTGAGTTTCCTAAAATCTCTTCTTCACTAACTTCCTAATAATTTAGAAGGGCGGTGCTCAATACTTTGGTTGAGCCCAGTGGTTACGTTGTTATGTACGGCCACCCCGGGACTTTTTCCGGTAGCACAACTGCTTAATAGAAACGCCCGACTACCTTAAGTGTGCACACCCCCTAAAAGGGATTCCAAGCCCTCCGAGTAGTAAGTCGTCACGAGTAGTCGGGACTTAGTCTACCAACTACCACACCTTTAAGATACTTCTGAATGATTAGGGACTACTACTACTACACTACTTCTTAAAAAGGGATCATAGATCCAAATGTCACTCAAAACTCAAAATGTACTCCTTACTCCTTAGTAGTAGCAGTCCTAAGCACTCTCCATATTTTAAGGGACGTGGAAAACTAACACCCCGTATTACTCCCGTGGTGCCTACCTCTTATAAAAACATCAATTTTATCTTGACTTAAAATATACTTCCAAAAATATCTCCCTAAATAGTCTCAAGTTTTTTTTTGTAAATACATTACAGAGCGAAATAGGCCTCTAGTCTTCAACCGTTTCAGGTTTTTCCTTCTTGGGAATAAGAATAATGTGGGTATGATTAACTTTCTCTGGAAGCTTACCTTAGGTGAAAATCCACCACCTTAGGTCCTACTACCTCCCAAAAATGCTGATAAAATCCTCGGCTTAAACCACCTGAGTCTGGGCTTTTATCTGGATGCATAGAAAAAAGTGCTTCTTTCACCTCCTCTTCTCGAATGGGTCTCAAAAACTGCATATTTTGATCATCCGAAACCATATGCTCAACACAAAGTAAAATCGGATCCATGTAACCCGAAATAAAGATGTTAGAAAATTTGTAGTTGACATTGTGAAAATTTCTGATTTCAATATTACAATGTCAACTTTATTATTATCACCATCGAGGAACACTAATCAGTGGACTAGGCCACCAAATTGGCAAATTTACTCCTATAAATTAAATTTCCTCCCCCGCTCGTCATCCTAGATACAAAAATTAATTATTTCCAACACTAAAAATTAATTATTTACAAAAATTTAATTAATTAAATTTCCTCCCTCGCTCGCAAATTTATCTTTTTTATGTCTGTTCAGACAAAACGTATTTGTCAAATATGTTTTATCTGGGACAGACATAAAAAAAGATAAAAAAGCCTTCACAGACATGAGTGTGTAAGAGTATGTACCAATAATGTGTACCAATAATTTTTTTAATAGAAATTGCTCATATGTTTTATTCCACAGATAAAACTGGAGTATTTGATTCATGTAAAAATTTTCAAAAACCAATATTTTTGTTTTTTTACTAAATAAGAAATGGAAAAAATCAATAATGACCTTGGATATCTATCTTGACAATGTACCAAAAAGAGTCAAGTGTCATTTTTGTAAGGCATTGGCGTTTTTACATGGAACATGTATTGTTTTTCCATGTTTGCTATTAATAAATATTGCGTTCATGTTCGTTTGTACTTATCATTTATGTATAAGACAAAGTAAAGAATGTGAAATTGAAATATCATATCTTTTTTATGAATAAAAGAATATTACATCAACTATATTACTACTTTAAATATTATTCCAAATTGTAAGATAACGGTGGATGTAGCTGAATTGGTAGCAAGGGAGTGACACAAGAGTTAGGTTTCGGGTTCGAATCCCGACAACTGCGATCGAGGTTGAGGGACCCTCAAGGATGGAGTGTTCTCCTTTTTTGTTTTCTTTCCAAATTGTAAGATGCATTTTCAAAATCAGTTATCATACATAATAAAGAAGTCGGGGAGCGTGGGCTGGCACGCACTCGAACAACCCCAACATTGGCTGTATAAATACATTAAAACGCTCGAATACGGTCAATAATCGCTCGGGGCCATAAATGTTCGAACAATCTGTTAGGACAGAGAAGGTGTTTCAGACAGAGATAACGGACATTAGTGATTTCAGAGAGAGGGAACCTGAGAAGAAGTTTGCCTGTTCTATACACAGGGAGTTGCACTGCGAAGAAAAGGACGAAGAAGCCGTTTTCCGATCTGGAATGAGACTTGCCGGGAAATGTAGTGCCGTTGAAGGCAGTAATGAGGGTGAGAGTACTAGTGGTGGCTGCAGCGGTGACGCCCTCTTCGGAGGGGGGAGAGGATTGGTGGCCGTAGTGGGGGTGAAATTGGATTCGGGGAGTAAGGAACTATTGACTTGGGTTCTCGTTAAAATTGCCCAGCCTGGAGATAGCGTCATTGCTCTGCATATCTTCAATCCTGATAGCGGTATGCCAATACGTGCGTATCTTTTTTTGTTATGTTTGTGTATGGTATACACATAATTATATGTCATAGTCAAATATAACTGTTTCAGAACTCTGTAGTTTTTGCAATTCCCTGTCTGGATTTAACATTTTCTTTTCACGATTTCCGTGTTTCATTTAATTGTTCACCTTGCTGTTTTACGCTGGAGAAGATAAGTCGGAGATGCTCTCACTGGTGAAGACTCTTGACTCAATGATGGCCGCTTATGAAGGCTTCTGCAACTTAAAACAGGTTATTTTACCGGACTAATTGCTTCTTTGTATTTTTTACTTTCCCTTTTTACTGTTTAGTTTAGGTTTAAGGTGATTGTGGTAATCTCTTGTGTTTCCTTTTTTACGGAAATGGCTTAGTGTATTTAATATGTGAAGCGAAACCGGTAATATGTAGGCAAATGGATTATCTGTGAAACAATTACTCCTTATTTAATTACTACTGCTATTTGTAACCAAGGAAGGCTTGTTGTGAACTTCTTACAACCCTGTCACCTATTGTGTGGAATTTTATCTGAAACCTCTCTCTTCTGTGATGGAGTTTGAACTTGTTAGGTATCCAAGCAATTAATCCCACAAAGCGGGAAGCTTAGTGAAGGGAATACTCATCCTCTCTCTATCTATGCTTTATAGGTTAATCTTAAGTTCAAGGTGTGTAGAGGGTCTCCAGCTCGTAAGGTTCTGGCTAGTGAGGCAATTATCTACAAAGCACCAATTTTGGTTGTTGGTACTTCAAGCACCCATCATAGTATTAGATCATCGGTTTCACTTGCAAAGTACTGTGCCAGGAAGGTCGGGAAGAGCATCTCTGTTATTGCTGTCAATAATGGTAAGGTTGTCTTTCACAGAGTAGCAACTACTTCTATTGGCCAGGGATCACACATGTTTGATGTGCTTGAATTGAGTTCGAAGAGTAAGACCTTGACTAAAAGTCCTTTGAGTTTCCCTCCAAAGGCAGATCCAGAGGACAGTTCTTTCACACAGCTACCATCGTCAAATAGTGGCAAAGTGTGTACTTCTCTAGCCTTGGTACCTTATAAGACAATGGATGTGCGAGACCCAAATTCAGGATCAGCATTGCTCAGAAAAGTATTTCACCAGAACACAAAATCTGGTAAGCGTTCTGCAAAAACGTCTTCTGAATTGCAGTGGGTTAGAGAAATACAATGTGAACAATCTCTCAGAGTTACCCACCTTGTGGATGATAAACAAAGTGTATATGATGAGGAGTATCTTCCTTCGAACTCGAATGTTGTAGAAGGTTCAAATGAGAGCTCCAGCTTTCAAATTCACAAGGAAGTAGAGTGCCTTTCCGAGAAGTATTCACAAAGATGCAGGCTGTTTGGTTACCAGGAACTTCTGACAGCAACTTCTAATTTTCTGAATGGTCTGTATCCATATTCACATTTTACTTGTCACTTCATGATATCAGGTTCTGATATTACTCAATTACATTTTTAGAAAATTTAATTGGAAAAGGTGGCAGCAGCAAGGTATACAAAGGGTGTCTTCCAGATGGGATGGAGTTTGCAGTGAAGATTTTTAAGCCATCAGAAGTTGTAGTAAAACAATTTTGTTCAGAAATAGAGATTATTACAGGCTTGCATCACAGACACATTATTTCACTTCTTGGGTTTTGCATTGAAGACAATAACCTTCTGTTAGTTTATGATCTTTTAACCCGAGGAAGCCTTGAAGATAATCTCCACGGTATTTATTACTTGAAAACTCCTGTTTTCTGTAGTTACAACAGCTAGAGTTCCTGCAAATTTTTAATAATAATTTTGATTTACATATGTTTTGAATTAGGTACTCAAAACATTGGGAAGTTATTTGGTTGGCACGAGAGATACAAGGTTGCATTAGGGGTCGCTGAGGCATTGGAACATCTGCATAATTCAGCGTCAATCATTCACAGGGATGTAAAATCTTCAAACATTCTTCTCTCATATGATTTTGAAAAGGTAATGTATTTGACATTGAAAAGTTTGTACAAATCATATATCAAGATGTTCACACTTCATTTATTCTTGCAGCTATCAGATTTTGGGCTTGCAACATTAGCTTCTGTTTCTTCATGTGATTTAGATGGCACTGACATTGCTGGTACATTTGGGTAAGTTAGGCATCATCCTCGCACACTGTATGTTGTTGATTGTTGATTTTCTGTAACTTTTTTCAATTGGGCAGCTACATGGCTCCAGAATATTTTATGCATGGAAAAATTAATGAAAAGGTTGATGTCTATGCATTCGGTGTGGTACTTCTTGAACTTTTATCTGGTAGAAAGCCGATTGACCATACAAATTCCAAGGGCCAGGAGAGTTTGGTTATATGGGTAAGTTATTTTCCTAACATGCGATTTTGCTAACTGATTGCTGCAAATAACATTATATATCTACTCACTCTTAGGCAAAGCAAACACTGAAGGACGGGAAACCTACTGATTTACTTGATTTAAGCCTGCTTGAAACATATGAGCGTGATGAGTTTGAGAGGATGGTATTAGCTGCCACCCTTAGTATCAAACGGGCACCCAGACTCCGTCCTCCAATTGACATAGTAAGTGCGGGTGTTTTCTTCCAAGTTGCATAGAGGAGACTGCTGTGTTTGTTCATACCTAATCATAGCAGTTTGCATATTTGAATAATAGGTTGTAAAGCTCCTTCAAGGCGAAGAAGAGGCCATTGATTGGGCGAGGCAACAGGTGAACGGATCAGAGGAAGTAGATGCAGATGATGAACAACAGCCCCCTCCAGCAAACATACAATCCTTTATTAACCTTGCCTTGCAAAATTTGGATAGTGATTCCCTATCAAGTTGTAGTTCTGATCAAAACATATCTGTAGAGGATTACTTGTGTGGCAGATATAGCCGTTCCTCAAGCTTCGAATAATTATTCTTGTCATAGCAGACCTTCTCATGGCTCCTGAAACATGTCTATATCTATGGAGAAGAGAGGCAACTAACAAGCCACATGAAATTCCGTATTGTAGCATTTATAGTTTTATACTTACATATTGTAGCATTTATACAGGAAGATGTAATAGTTAACACTTAACAGTTTCACATTATGTTAAAATAAAGCAATCAATAGCAACATATAATCTTTAGCAGTGCAAAATAAATCCTAGATCATTTATACCAGGTAATGTAGATCATTTATCAAAGAAGGAAACGTAATCTTTATTTTTGGGATAACTTAAAAAAGAAATACATGACTATATTTTTGTGATAACATATAATCTTTAGCAATGCAAAATAAGTCCTAGATTCAAGTAAAAGGAATGGTAAAATTTAAAAGTGGTATTAGCCCTTAGTAGGACTAAATTAAGTCCAAAATTCAACTACAGGAGACCAGGAGTACAATCTCTTTATTCCCAACATAGGACTAATATATGTCTCTTCTTCCCATTCTACCCCCTTCCTATAATTTCCAATAGATCTATTTTATTAATGATAAAATCATAGTTTTCTTTATAATAAAAATCTAAAAAATAATAAAATATTTATAAAATAATAATGAAAACGTGAAAAATAAAATAAAAATAAAAAAAATAAAAAAAATTACTTAAATTGATACGGTAGTAGAAGAATAAATTCAATATACATGGGGAACTAGGGATTGACATGGTTCATGGATGCAAGTTGCAACTCTAAACTGACTCAAATTGGTTGGCTATTAACTAAATAAAGGGAGATTTCCCAAAATAGGAGTAAACATGTTTTGAAGTTCAACTACTTGTTATAATTAATGACAATATTTTTCAATCATGTTGATTATGACTTCTGTTTGGGGAAGAAAAAACGCAATAGTCCTATTTTGAAATTCCAAAAGTTGTTTACTCTTATTTAGGGTGATTCTTATAAATAAAAACTGCCCAATTTCTTCTGAGGACCAAAGTTGATGGTTCTTGTTCCTTTTCTGTCCACCACAAATTTATCTTTGAAATCCAATTTGGAACTGGCCAAGTAGCGGACATGAACTGAAAACCAATCTGGAATCCTTAAGGAGGCTGGTTCTGGTTGTACCATATGGTTGTGGGGGACCAGGGAATCAGGGATTGGCCAGTTTGGAACCTGAACTGGGCCCTGTCTACCCCTATCGGGAACTACCAGGACTGGACAATGGGAAAAACTCACATAACAAACAAATTCGAGAAAGATAAGAGTTGAATAACACAACAAAGAATGTACCGAACTACCAGGAGAATTATGGGTCAGTCAACTGCATGTTGCTTCTATATTACATTAACATTTTGAGATGCATTGGAAAACAACACGAATGATGTGTACAATATTGGAGCGACCATATGTTGGATTAAAGCGAGCTGTATTGCATAATCACCCAATAGAAAATGAGAAGATGGATCAAACTTTTAACTTGTAGCTATGCCTAAAAACTAGTATTGCCAAAAAGTGGGTTTCAGCTTTACACCGCTTCTACTGCAAGTGGAATTTCCGGTCGCCTGTTTGCAGCACCAATGTCAACTGGAGGAGCACCCTGTTTCCCTGTATGCTCACGGGCATTCCTTTTCTTAGTTTCAAGAATGATAAGAAGTGCTGTAATGTCAGCAGGATTCACTCCACCCACTCTACTCGCCTGGCCAATGGTTTGGGGCCTGACCTATAAACATGAAACAACTCACCTAATGTCAATGACTTTGGGACCAATGCTTTAGGTTTTAGACTTTAGTTAATCTGAAAGTAAAGGCAGGCCGTCAAGATGAACACACCAGCACTAGGTGTCAAGATGAACACACCAGCACTAGGTTTTAGTTAACATGAACAGACCTTTGAGAGTTTCTCTCGCGCTTCAAGTGACAAAGTGCTAATGGCATAATAATCAATGCTCTCAGGGATTAGTTTATGCTGTTGATGAACCATCTAGAAGCAGAAAACGGGATCAAACAACAACCAAAGGAACATAGCTAACAGCTATGGATAAGTCATAGAATTGGATAAGAATTTGAAAATTTAGCACATATGAAAGAGAAAGGCACGAGGAAGTTGGTAAACCTGTTTGAGTTGGAGTTGCTGGCGAGCGATGAAGCCTTCATATTTGATGTCAATCTCTACGCAGAGTTTCTCTGCTCTGGATAGAAGTTGATTTCCAAAACCATGCTTATCAAAGACCTCATACTGCACATGTGGTTTCTTAAGGAGGCTCTCCAATGTTGAGGAATCCTTAACTGGCTGATGAGAAATAGATGTAACTTCAGCAGCCAAATCTCCACCTGAAGTCCCACTTCATTTAAGAGCTAGGCATATGTTCGTTACCCAACATATCTCTCTTTTGTTTTATATATTTATTTAGAAAAAATGGATAGGTACAGAAAATGCATTCACAAGAAGTATATTATATATATATAAAGAAATTAGCCTAGATAGGAGTAAACACTGCCCAAATTAAAAAAGGACCATGTATGTTTTTTCATACAAATGAACTATTCTTCCTATTTTACCCCTCCTACATTTTTTACATTAAAAACTACAACAGCCTATTTTACTTTATCTCCCATTCCCTTCTTTGAATGCTGCTTCAAATAAGAGAAAGCAGACAGAAACAGAGATTGGTGCAGAGGCGAGCATCTCCTTCCTATCTCTGCTGCAACTTCGTCGAGTTGCAGCAGCTCGGGCAAGCTATGCTTTATTGAAGGAAATAAATAATTGACATTTAAGGCATAATATTGCATTTAGCCGTTACATCTCTATCATTAATATTGTATTATTACCTACCTTATAGACTTGATTAGTGATCGTATAAATAGCACCTATTGTAAACCTTTTTAATCATCATCGAATATACTAAAATCATTCGCTCCTCTCTTCTCTATTATGATATCAGAGCCACTGAGCTATAACCAGCCCTTTTCCTCACCCCTATGACAATAAACGACAGCCAGCCTGAGGCTCTCCTCCAACATGGAGACCTCGACAACATCCCTACCAGTACACCTATCCCTTCTAATACTCCTTCAACCACAGTTACAACACCTCTCACCCCAGATGGATTAATCCTGTTAAATCCCAATCACTTCCCACAAAAACTTGATTGTTCAAATTACCTGGTATGGCGGGATCAGATTTTGGATTTTCTTTTTGGGTCTCATCTTGATCAATATATATCTGATGATACTGCTCCACCACCGAAGAGTGACATTGATGGCCATCTCCGGTGGACTAGGCAAGACCGGCTTATCCGACATGCCCTCATAGCTTCCCTGAATTCGACCTGTAAACCTTTGGTTGGGTCCTCTCGCACATCTGCACCAGTTTGGAAGACTCTAGAGGAACTCTATGGGACTCGTTCACCATCTCAAATCCGCAACATGAAGGACATCTTCCGCCACACCCGACAAGGCTCTCAACCAGTGGGGGCGTATCTCCATCACCTGAGCACGCTCGCCAATGAACTGGCTCAGGCCGGTCGCCCCGTAAACGACGAAGATTTCATCGTTCAAGCACTGGGGGGACTCCGACCCGAGTTTGAATCCTTTGCTAACTCCATTCGGACCTGCGGCCATAACAGGTTCAAGACGATCTATACCCTGCTCACTGGCTTAGAAGACTCCATGAAGCGGAAAGAAGACTTTAACTCCTTCGTTGTTGTGGTGACGGCTAATAACGCGAGTACGGGGGAGTCGGCAGCACTTGTGGCTCGCAGAGATCCAGCCCCTTCAATTTTGGGCCCAAGACCGCTGGCCCAATTTCAACAGCAGCCCAATCGCACTAATTATTCGGCCCGCAATACTAATCGGAATCAACCCAGAAACCAGCGACCCAATACTCATTACAGTCCTAACCGACGAGGCAATAACAATTCTGGGGGTCTTACAAGCAATCAGGCAGCCCGCAACAGTTCGGGGAGTGGTAATTTCGGGCCCAATGTTACATGTCAAATTTGTGGGAAACCGAACCATTCTGCTCTCAACTGTTGGCATCGGTTTGAACTACAAACTTATCGTCCCTGAGTTAATACGGCTTTCACTCGTCACAATGGCTGGCTACTTGATTCTGGAGCCACCAATCACGTCACCAATAACCTGAATAAACTTACCTTGGCATCTGATTATAGTGGCACTGATTCTCTTGTTATCGGTAACGGTAAAGGTCTTGCGATAGCACAAGTCGGGCATATGACTCTTCACTCTCTTTCCCTAACGAATACTCTTTTTGTCCCTTCTATTCATACCAATTTGATTTCTGTCGCCAAATTATGTCGTGATAATGACATAGTGACATACTAATTGAATTTCATTCTTCCTTTTGTCTTATTAAGGACCGGCGAACGGGAGCAATTTTGTTACGGGGTATGAATAAAAGAGACGTCTACAACTTGCCAAATGTACCCCCTCCACCATCTCCATCCGTTCACATCACCCAAAAAATTTCCCTTAAAATTGGCATTGTTGTTTAGGACATCCTGCCCTCCCTATCACAAAAAAAAATCTCTTCCTTAGGTATTTCTTTTTTTGATGTTACTACAAATAATTCCTTATGTGTCTCGTGTGCTAGTAATAAAAGCCATAAGCTGCCATTTGCAAAATCACCTCTTACGAGCTCCGGACCTTTAGATTTATTATATACATATGTTTGGGGTCCTGCTCGTGTTAATTATGTTGATGGCTTTCGTTACTATGCTATTTTTGTTGATTATTATACCAAATATATTTGGCTTTACCCTATGGCTCATAAATGTGAGGTCACTCCACTCTTTCAACGGTTTAAAAAGATTGTTGAAAACTTTTTTCAACGCACAATTAAAACAGTTTATTTTGATGGGGGAGGCGAATACATAACCTTAGGGAAATTCGTAAGCACATGTGGTATTTCTCATTTATTTACCCCCTACACTCCAGAACACAATGGCTTTGCTGAACGTCGGCATTGTCACATTGTGGAAACTGGTATCACCCTACTTCACCATGCGTCTATACCTCTTAAATATTGGTCCTATGCCTTTCTTACAGTTGTTTATCTTATCAATAGGCAACCCGCTCTCTCTCTTAACTTATGCACTCCATATGAAAAACTCTTCCAAAAACCTCCTAATTATACTAAACTTGCTGTTTTTGGGTGCCAGTGTTTCTCTTGGTTACGTCCTTATGGCTCTC